ATATATATATATATATATATATATATATATATATATATAGATAAAAAAAAAGGGGAACTAGAAAACTGAAACATAAACATTCAAGATTATAAATCCTAAATTAAGCAACTATGATTAGATTTAGATTATTTTGTTTTTAAAAAATTTATCTCATTGAAAAAAGTGAGTGATATAGTGTAATTTTTTAGTGGAATAATATTTTGAGATTGTTATGGATATTTTAGAAAAAAATTGGTGATTATCTAGGAAAAAATATTATTTAGAAAAATATCAAGTCAGATCAAAGTTATCTGATCGGGTCAATATCCGAGTCGTCCGAATTTGGCAGGTTGGAAAAAAAATAAAAAGAATAAAAATATCATTAAAATAGAAAACTGAAAAATAAACATTCAAAAATTATAAATCCTAAAGCACCTATGATAAGATATATAGATTATTTGTTTTTAGAAAATTATCTCATTGAAAAAAGTGAGTAAAATAGTGTAACTTTTTAGTGGAATAATATTTTGAGATTGTTATGGATATTTTAGCTAAAATTTAATGATTATGTAGAAAAAATATTATTTAGAAAAATATCACGTTAGATCAAAATTATCTGGACCGGGTCAATATCCGAGTCGTCTGAATTTGACAGGGCGGAAAAAAATAAAAAAAAAATAAGAATATCATTAAAATAGAAAAATGAATAAAGAATTAGTTTTGAGAAAGCGGTAGAAATTTCTATTTATGGGAAAATTAAGCTTAATATGTTTTTTTTTATCCAAATCTAAATGAAACATATAAAACAATCATGTCTTGGCAGGATAATCATAGGCCTCGTTTACTAGCCTTGACAGGATGGGATAAGGTTGGTTAACTAACTTTATCCCTAGTTTACTAAATAAGATTGGGATAAGGATACAAATGATGAGGCATGAGTTGGCACACAAATGTATCCTTGTTGACAGGATAAAAAAATTTGGCCATTATGGTGTGATAAAATTATCCTTGTCTAAAATGAACT